CCACTATAATGGTAAGTTTACCAAATTTTCACCCTATTTCGCTACTCACGACCAGTGTGGTTTCTTTCTGAAGTACCACTGTAGCCTAGTCTCCCAATTTCGTCCTTAATCTGTCTACAAGATCAAGGATGGTGAAAGGGGCGGTGTAAAGAAACAACAATGATTTGGTGTACACTGCATTTCAGGCTCCGAAACTCAACTCGCCCTCAGTTCTTGTTCCAATCGAAGATTGCTAAACTCTGTAATAGCATTGCCTGCTCCCTTAATAACTGTAATCTGTAAATAAGGCTCTCCTTAGCACCCCCTCTCTTAGATTATACATAACCATGGCTTCCTCCACGGGACAGGTTTTGGAAATGAGCCACTATTTAACACGTTGACGACATTCTGAGCCACCGGTGGCTCATAACTTTCTCCATCACTTTTTGGGTTATTGCCGGCAGTCTCAATCGATCTTTTTCTTGCTTTCGAATAACCTGTGAAAGGTGAGTGTCCAACAGGGATGAGCAAGAAAAATGTTGCTGCCTCCATGGATATTTTGAATTAAAAATTGAAATTTTTCAACTAGCTACTGCTGCGGCAGAAACCTCCAAAATAGTTCTTTTTGGACGGAACCTTGGCTGCAGGGACTGCGCGGGGCTTTGATCATGAACATGAGATCTATTTGTCGTTGGCGCCATATGGCGCCAGCAGGTGCCATCTCGGCGCTAGCAGTACACCTAATGCGATAGAAACCTCCATAGCTAGGTTATTTGACATCCTTGTCACGAATATCGTTGCCTTCCAGTGTTGGCGCCACCTGGCGCCAGCGGGCGCCACTTTGGCGCCAGCGATTTTTTTGACACCGACTATGGCGTGGCCGGCTATGTGTCGGTGTGGCCGTCTATGAATCATTGTAATGTGTGAAAAGCAGAAAATTCCAAGAAAATTCTTAGAAACAGAAGTTATGGCACACATTTTGGAAATCACGATCGCGCTAAAAAGTGGGCGTGATCGCAGAGGGCGGGGCATGAGATGGCATCCAATAGGGTCAAGGATGGTTGAAATAGCAGTCCCTGCACGACTGACTAATCATTTTGCGAAATTTGACGTAGCGGCAAAAAAGTGGTCCACGAGGGACAATATGAGCCATCGATACTCCCTCTACGTACGCTCTTCACGTGACCGTCTCCAAGTGTGAATGTGTATCAAGTGAGTGGTCCTGCACTGCGCTACTGACTGATTGGTTCCCAGTTTCACCGGTAAGATGGCTGGCGAACAGAACGGTAGGCCTTCAAGCAGATCGGCAGACCCACAAGCCGCAGAACAAGCTGCAAAGCAGGTGTTTTCATGCTCTTATTTGAACAACTTTCACTTAAGGACATGATCCGTTGGCGTGCATACGGTAGCAACGTCACTTCTCATGCCTCACCTACGCCGAAGTCCTTCCGGAATGTCTCTTTTTCTTAGAGACTCACTAGAGAAAAGGGCCCCTGAAAATTTCTGAGGAGAAGTTCGAAATGTGCATCTCCTTGAACAGTTTGTCACATCTGTTGTTCAGCAATCATCAACTTTAGGAGCGGCCTTATGTGATGCTGAAGAAAAACCACTATGAATTGTATGGCAACATGAAGTTCGAAGGATTCTGTATTGATCTTCTAGCCGAGTTATCCAGAGATCTTGGTAAGATTTTACTTTTCGCTTTCTCGCTTTTTCTGGAGACAAGATGAAGGTGAGCCATCACCTCAGAGCATACCACCAAAGTTTTCTAAATGATTTTTGTTGTGATGCCTTTGAAGGACTAGACTCTTCAGTGGCTCGGAATGTTTCGCGTCAAAGATCCATGTAGATCAACCCACCTCCTATCTTTGAACAAGCAGTTCTCCAGAAAAAGCATATGGCGCATGAAAGTAGTGGGGCTTGTAAGATGTTGGACTGGAGCCCAGCAGCAGCTTTGTTTCCTATTAAAGGCACGGTCCGCGATAAAAAGCCAGGTGATGTTGCAGAAATGTGAAGAAAATTCGCCAAGTGAACCGTCTATGAAGAGAAAATGCCAAAGGGAACGTTGGAAACGCATTCGTCAGGCCTCCTCTAGCCTCAAACAACTGTAGAGGTAAAAGACCGAAAAGACCGCGCGCTGGGACGATTCCCGTCGGCTGATTCCCAGTAATGAACCTTATGACTCTACAAGAGACACTGAATGCATCCACTCCATGATACTTGCCCGGGAGCATTACTTTTGGCTGGAAGGCCGACTTTGGAGGCGGAGTCTGGAGGCGGAGTCACTGGAAAAGGGATGTACCACTGAAGCAACTTTGCGCCTTAATTCCTTTACCGTACAACTTTCCGCCGCGAAACTGGCACAGGGTTGTCCACTCCGGACCGCACTACCTTCCCACATAACCTCTTGCATTTTCATAGGTCATCGCGGACCGTTCCTTTAAAAGTAGCACTGTCCGGCTGGAGCATGCTAAGGCAGCGTTCATACTTCGCGACAGCAGCGGCGATCGCGGCGACCTCGGCGACCTCGGCGATCGCCGCGATCGTCGGTACATGGCAGAGCGCGCCCCAACGCTATTACTTGCGCTCCGAAGGCTTTTGGGAAGAAGCGACTCAATTTCATGCTTTTTTCCTTTAACTGCAATTTTCTTAGATACTGAAGCTTGGTTTGAC